TATTTTTCTTGTTTTCATTTTATATCCATTTTGCTCCTCTCAATAGGCACTATTGAACAGACAACGATATTGATAAGCACCTCTGTGATGTTTGATTTTCTCTAGCCTATCTTATACTGTTCTCCTTGATGTCACCTGGAGTTGAAAAATAGTAGCAATCTGCCTGAACAAGGTTTTAGTTACCTGATAACACATGGTGAGCTTTACAACTTACATTTCCTTTTCTTTTTTCTTTTCATCCCACCTCTCAAATCATTTCCTCCCCTTTCTAGGCATAAAAATAAAGTCATCCAAAGCCTCCTTTTCTCTCTCTCTCTTTTTTTTAAATTCTCTTTTGTTTCCATGTTTTGTGTTTTTCTTTTCATTTTTGTTTTGTTATCTTTTGCCTTCTCCCTTCAGTTCCTTAATCCTAGTCTCATCATCGCTATTCCCCTGTCTTCCTGGGCTTTGAAAAGAATTGAGAATTGCTTGAACAGGTATGGTGTGGTATGGTATGGTATTAATATTACCCTGGCTATAGACCCTTAATAAAAGAGACATTGAGATTTATGCTCATGGAAAAACTCCAATTCAGCCTGGAGTCTGGACTTTATCTTTAAAGAGTCTTCATTATTTGAGGTATTTTCTTATGAAATCTGCCTCTAATCAGTAATCAGAAATAATCAATTTTAAACATAGTCATCACACTCTATTCCCACCTACTTATACACATTTCATGTGCTCCAAGTTTACATGGTGCTTCTCAAAACTGCAGTGACTTTGAGGTACTTTAGTTTCTGCTAAATTAATTTTCCCGTCATTATGCAACTAATCTATGCTATCATTTAATGTGGCACTTTAAGATGCTATAGTGACAGGACTTATGAAAATACTTCACTTTTCTGAGAAGAATTGGAGCTTTAAAGGATCTGAAAAAAAAGTGTAATCTAGTTTATCTCCATATATTACACATCTGAAAACAGGCATCTGGGAAATTTGCTGCATGCTAAGTAGGCTTATGAAACAGAGTCACATATACAGCTCATCACCTCTCACTAACAATGGTGGCAGGCTTCAGCACCCCTTACGGCATTGTGCTGTGAAAGGCTGGCACACTCTGCAAGGTTAAGATGGATATTATGTCCCTTCTGTGATCTCTTTAGGTTGATATTTGCCTATTGCACCCACCAAAGTTGGAGGATTTTGTCTATACACAAACCATTACCGAGACAAAGGTTTTAAGGGTAACATGAGCAGAAGTTTCACCAGTTCTGACTCTGATCATTTATACTAATAGGCAGGCTTGTCCCCTTGTTCATTACTCCTGTTCCTAAGCTGTCCATGTGCAATCACAGAAGGCAATCACAGGTAACCAAGCTTGTTCTCAATTGCAGTCCATGACCTAATATAGCGATGCTTGTGATTAAATTATGTTGACATTATGAAAGAGGGCTGCCACATACTGCCCAAGGACAGTGCCTATATTAGAAAAGTCCACAACTCAGGTCCCAACAGAAACAGAAGATACACTCAGAACTGTACAGTATTTCCCCAGAGCTAGGCACACCACCACCATGATATAACAAAGAGAGAGAGAACATTTCCTAAAGGAAGGAGTTCTGTAAAATCAGCTGCCTTATAGGAGACAGTACACAGCCAGTCCAAATTACCTCACAGGGAAAGTTCCTGGAGAATAAATGCTTGCTTTAACTCTTCTCACTGAGTGATCTCCAGCCCAGCTAGGGGACAGAGGAACCGGTGAGGCCCAACACGGTCAACCTCATTTGACAGAGAACAGATGGATTCTGGTTCTAGAGGAGCAGTCATAAGCAAAAACTATGCCAGGTTACTGGCCAGTTAATTAAGAGAGGAGAGTGAAAAAGAAGGAGGAGGAGTGGAGGGGGAGGAGGAGGTCTGATGGTTCTTTACTTAAATTGCCTGAAAATATATTTGGAGCTGTTACACTAAGTGCCATAAAACTTGGCTTGTCTCCAGGTTACCAGATTTAATTTCATATGCTATCATTACATCCATGTTTGTTTTTAACTTCCCCTTTATATTAGTCTTAACATGCCCTTAATTTTAAGACCTGTATAAAAGGGCTACATTTCAGGAAGGTTCAGAAGGAGAACTTTCCCTGAAAAATAATGCCGAGGATTTTACCTAGAATTTATAAGAAATGTGTCACTACTGGCTGTTTCTAAATCCTATCAGCAGATAATGGGTGAGAGTAGACAGGAGCAGAAGTCAACTTAATGAGGAGGTGAAAAACTAGGACCTAGAACCAAGACAATTGATTTGATATGAATGCCCTAGTTTTATATAAATGGTTGTATCAGCATAACCAACCAGACTTGATATGGTGAGTTGTAGTGCTGTAGACAGCCTAGTTAGTTAAAAATATTATAGGCAGTGAGACAGGGCTGCCTGCTGTGGTCCAGGCCTCAAGACAAAGGATCAAACCAATGCATCTACATCCTAAAGACTGATATCTAATTAGTTCCCTATCACCCTGGAGTCACTATCCCATCCCTCTAGGGAAAAGGTCACAACTCTTAAGAATGCCTGCTTCCTAGGTGACTTGCTTTCCCATTTATCCTTAATGTAATCAATTTTACCTAAACTATTGATCTTATTGGCTAACTATAGTTATGTCCCACCTTATGCCCATCTGCCTTGTGAGTTCCCAGTCCTGTGGGTTGTGTCCCCTGCACCTTAACCCATGATTTTGCTCTATAAAAGTCCCTGGAAAAGACTCTCTCTCTCATACAGAAGCTTTCTTTCTCTCAATAAATATATTCTACTCTTAACCTCCATTATTCCTAAAATTCATTCTTCAATTTTAGAGAACACAAACTCATGGACATACTAGGTTGGGAGTTTCATTCCCCTATATCATTAGGAACCCTGGAGAGTAAAAATGTCAGTACCTCTGAGACCAATTAGAGAAAAGGCTCTAACAACTCACATGTCTGGAGTTGGTTATAATGGGTAACACCTGGCTTGCATGGCCGAGTGACCCTGGGCAGGAAAATAATTTGGCGAACTCTTCGAGCTCATTTGGCATATTGGTAGTCAGCCTTCTAATAGATCCAACAGATTTAATTTTTCATATGAATCTTACACAAGAGTCAAGCTGACATGATGGCCTATACCCCTTTAATTTTAGTTATTAAATTATATGAAAGAAATAGTCTAAGTTTAATGTTTGTGAATTTGTCACTGTAACCAGACATTATTGGTCAGACTTAAACTGCCGCCACCCTCAAAGTCTCCTGTGTGCAAAGGTTTAGAAGGTGACTGGACCATGGTGGACTAACCCATTGATGATTTCATAGTTAAAAGTACTGTTAGGCCATTCGGCTGAGCTAGAGGCCTCTCTCTGGGGCATGACATAGAAACAGCTTGGGAAGGCTCCTCCTCCCTTTCTCTTCTTCCCCGCTGCCCAGGGATTGAGTGCTGATTTCTGCCAGGTCCCTCCACCATACCATTTTTGCCTTGGATCCAGTAAGCCATAGATTAAACCCACTGAAACTGTAAACCAAAATAAACCACACCTCTAAGTAGTATGTGTCAAGTATTTTGTCCTAATGATGGGAAAGTGAGTAATGCATCATTTAGATGAGTAAGGATTTGAACCCCTAATTTATAGGACAAAGCAAACTAAAGTGTGGTATGACTGCACCAGGTTCAGTTTTCTCTGCCTCTTTTCTCTGGCCTCAGTTTCACAGTCTCATACCTTATGCATAGTTCTGTGCTGGGTTTAGATCAACAAACCCAATTAGATTAAGGAAGAAGGAAGAGACAGAGACTATCTTAGTCAGGGGGCAGGGCCTTCAATGGCTCAGAGTGAAGCCTTGAACTGACTGGAAACCGCAGATTTATTGAGGAACAACAAAGTCATAGCTCTTCTGAGCACACATCTTAGGTAGCAAGGCAGGCAAACAGGTCATGGTGACTGCCGGCCTGAATAATTAACTTTTATCTGATTGTCCCCGAGGGAGTTCCCCTCCGCCACATGTTTCATCTCATCTTCAAGATGTTTGGGGTCAGCAGTCTTCTGCCACCTGAGTCAAATCAAATAGACATTGACCCTTGGGTGTCACAGAGAACCCCACAGTTCTATTAACTCCAAGCATTTGCTACAGTGTCATGAGAGATGTTATAAATAGTAAAATATAAGTACTCCAAAAGAAACAAAAATTCCATTGAGATAATGTTGAAGTGCCTGATATCTCTGCTTTTTAGAAAGCTTGGCTTCTTCAGTTGTGCCCAACTAAAAAATTATAATTTTAATAATAATATTTGATAATATATCAAAATAGATTTATACTCCAAAGCTGAAGTTTGGTGATATTCCGATTTTACTAAGTGTATGTCTGGGATGTGAAGAAATTATAGCATTCTGATTGGTAAATGGCCATAGAAAGTTTCTCAGAAAAAGTTAATATATAAGGTGTCTTCTGCATATAAGTACCAGCTTATTAAAGGGTGATTTCAAATGTACTTTGAAGGAAGATTGTATTATTCCAGAAAACCCCTAGAAGTTACATATTAAGTGTTGAGCATTTTCTTAGTGGGTTAAGATTGATGGTAAGAAGAACACTGCTTCAGATATTGCTGTTTGCTAAGTGTGTATGCTACCCTAAACCCCAAATCAAGACACTCTCATTTGACTGTGCTTGGAAGGGCTCTGGCATTCAGGAGAATCACTCCTGGTCTGAGCCCAGTCTGGCCTTTGTCTTATCATGAGCAGGCTTGATCTAGCCAGACACAAGATCAGTAAGGCAGGGGAAAAGTATTGCCAAGAACTTCTGGGAGGGTGTTTCTAGATTTTGAGAATATCAGATACTGCATTATAAAACATGCTCAGAACCACTTTTGTCCAGATTGAAACACTGAAGCCAACATGTGGGAGATGTTAGATAAGGATGAGCCTGGGGTCTTTGATACCATTAGGCCGCTGAATTCAACTTAGAGCCTCCTATATGAGTCAAGGTTAGATCAGAGAGGCAAAACTATTGACAATCAAAGAGAATAGAGTTTATTATATGGCTGCAATTTTACACAAATGTGAGAGTTATGCCAGTGTGACTGTGGATCAGTGCACCAGGGTCAGGAGGGAGAGAGGACTATGGAACAAGAAGAGCAAAGATGATGTTCGGGTAGCTGCCCGGGAAAAGCCAGATGCTAGCCTTTTCCCGTAAGTCAGCACCATTCTCAGACTGTGGTGGGGAAGAGAACCAGAATTTACCAGTAAGCAACCCTCCCTGTGAATCAGTGCCATGCGTGGGTCACTGCTCCTAGGGGAACAGCCAGGCCCAGCCCCTTCTGACATAGAAAACAAGAAGAGCCAACTTCCCACCCCCACCCCTGCCCCATAAGTGACTGACTGATCTGGAGAAACACAGGTTGTGATAGCTACTAAGGTGAAATGCAGTGTGATGCTTGTGGTGTTCGGTATTTCACTGATTTTGCAGGTCTAAGGCCGGTGGTCTGATCATCTATTCAGAAGGTAACGGCATGCAGTGTGGCATCTGCTGGGGATCTCCTTGTGAAAGGGGCAGCCATTGTTAATTCCCTGTTATCTTGTTTTGAAGTCCTGTGTCATTTTCATTGTTTTGTTGGGTTGGGTTTTATTGTTTGACTTTGTTGTTATCCGATGGCATAGGCAGCCATTTCAAAGATAGCAAGATATATTATTGTAGCCTTTTTGGATGTACTACTGTCTTGTTTTGAAGTCCTTCATTGCATTCATGGTTTTGTTTTTATTGGTTCTGTTCTGCTCTGTTTGATTTTCACTACTTCTGAGGGTATCTGCAGCTATTTTGAGAACAGCAAGAAGCATTCTGGTAACCATTGTTGATTTCATATTGTTTTGCAGTCCTGTGTCACTTACACTGGTTTATTTTGATTGGCTTTATTCTGTTTTGTTTTGCTTGGCTTTATCTCTTTACAATAAAATCAAATAAAATAAAATAAAAAGAATTGAACCTGGGAGAAACTAAGTCCCATCCTCAGCACTGTAGTATTGACTGAAGGCATATTTTGAAATAGGGAAGTGGAGAGGATTGTATAACTTGATAATTTGCTACATGAACAAGCATACTAGAGAGTGCATATGCTTTAGTGACAAATTTTGTATGAAAGAGGATGATAAGGCCTCCCAGAGAAGGCCATATTTAAACTAATTAGTCAGATTCACAATCATAAAAGGTGTTAAGCATTCCAGTCATACACTCAAGTTAAAAGATGATTTCCGTTATTGAGGGGAAAGAGGAACTGAAGAAAGTTGAAATGTTAGATCATTAACATGGAGATTTGGAATGTGAATGGTAAAGGATAAAGTAGGATTTGAGAGTAACTGAGGCTTTTAATTAATAAGTGGATGACAGTCTATAAATGAAAATAGGGAAATACAGAAATATTGGAACAAAGATAATTGTATTTTGGATATATTGAGTACAAGATGTCTAAAATATCTCTGAAACAAGCTAACAGTTTGCTCATTCATTTGATTCCTTTTGTTGACTATGTTACTATGAGTCAAACTCTGTGCTAGGAACTGTGCCATACATTTTAAAATATAGCCTCAGACTATATCTATAGATTAAAGTAGTATTTGAATACACAGGAATTAGTGAGAAACTGGAAGAGGATATTGAATTAAAAGAAATAAGAAATCAAAAACTGTTAATTGTGACTACGAAGTGATAACTTGGATATTGTCTATCCAAAAAGACAGTGAGAAAAAATTGAGGAAACAGGAAAATACAGCAAGCTTGCTACGAAATCTGTATTTCTTTAAATTGTTTTTTCAACTGCTATGCTCTGTTTTGATATGTTTAATCTTACCCTCTTTGAGATGTAAAACAAATGTGTAGGACTGATATCTATATTACTGAGCTCTTGTTCGATTATAGAGCAGAAGGGTTTGTAGTGTCACTTTATGAATGTCATTCTAAATACTTTAATTCTATAACATGAACAGCTATTTCTAAGATGACAATGTGTAACTTATCAATCAGCAATTTCTTACCGTTTGTTTTTCTGTAAGTTTGTATTATTTCTACCCCTTTTTTTTATCTCCATGTATTCTTTTGTTTCCTTTTCTTTAAATAAAAAAAAAAAGAAAATACAGCAAGCTTCTTCTAGTGGTATATATTACTGTTTTTAATTCCTCACTATACTAATCTGGAATAAAATGAAATATCTAATTTTAAAAAAAGAGCAAGGATAAAGGGGTGTCATCGTAAGAGCAAGCTGGACCCTGCTTGTGTCATTCGTGGCCTCCGTGGCAGCACTGTGGGTATTCTTCAGAGAAAGCTGGTGCTGGCTGCCTTGAATCTATACACACCTGGCCAGCATTCTGCAGGGCCGAAGGAGTCTTGATAGGAAGAGGCACTACAGGCCCAGGGCTCTGGCATTCCAGAGGGTTATTTGTGATCTCTGCCAGCTCACTTTTTTTGCCCTGGGGTAATATCTTTGAGCTATCACAGCACCTAGGGACATTATACTGATGTTCCTTCTCTTACACTGGCCTATCTTATCTACCTACAAATTCCTCCTGTAACCAACTCTAATCCAGAGTCATGCAAGCAGAAATTCTGGGACCTGCTCCTCCTGCTAAGCTGCACAGCCACATTACAAAGCCCGTATACACCTGTCACTGAAGCTTTTGTTGGGTGACTTTGCCTCATCGGTTAAATTCCCCCCACCATCTGGCCTATATGTGTGTGGATTATGATAGTTTTGCTTAAGGTTCAAAGTGCCTAATGTGATTATAGCTGCATCCATTTTCAGGACTAAAAATATAGGTTTATATGTTTTTAATGAATTAGGCTTATATAGTTTAATGAATCAGGCAATGAATTAAGCAAACTTAGCTAACTTTAGTGATATCAACATGCCCTAGACCCATGGGGTATAATCAGTATGAGAATATCTTCTATGAGTCCTATGCAGTGTTTCTTTTTAACCTCAGAATTGAAAAGATTCTTGCATCTATTTAATCTTAAATATCAATTGTTAGAAGATAATCTTGCAGTTGAGGATCAAAACCTTCCATTAACATTGGGAGTGATGAAATTCTCCATAATTTTTACATTTTTCCAATCACTATGTTGAAATTGCTTTCCATATCACAAAATTACACATTTTGAAATGTTTGTTTCAAATGCAATTGAAGATTTTAACCATAAAATGGCATCTTCTTCTTCTTTGTCTGGTCACTGTCCTTTGTAAGAAGGAGCTGCTTATTCTTCACGAACCTGAAAAACAGAATGTCAAGTGTGTTCTGTGAAATTCCAGTGACTTTCAGCAGTAGAGCACATATCCAGATCTATGCCAAGTACTTTCCAGAAATAAGCAGGCCTAGGACAACTCTTTTTTAGCTTCAAAGCGAGGCAGGGAATTGAGGCAGCTGTCTGCATTGCAGAATGCAAGCTCTGATAGTTCACCCTAACAACATGCTTTGTCAGTCTTGGATTTCTGCCTCCCTTTTACCCAGGAAGAAAAAGACTCTGCAGCTGCATCACCAGTTTGTGTCCCAGCCCTTGACACACAATGTCACCAGATACACAATATCAGAAAACCTTCTTTTCAAGACAGCCAAGAAATTTTCAGGTTTTTCTTCTGTGAACAGGAGACAATTAATCACTGCACTCCCAACAGATGTCTTCTATTCATCACTGGTCTCCCAGGAGCAATTTCTACTTTACCCATTTTATTCATTGTTGGAAGTAACTGTGATGAAGTCAAATGCTTGGCATGTGTTTCAAAGACCATTCAACGTTCTGCAGCTGAATACTGGGGAATATGGGAGGCATCTACCTGCCCAAGTCCATTACGTGTCCCACAGAAAACCCAAATCCACTACTGCCCCTCTACTCAAATGGAGCCTGCACTCAAACCACTTCACTACAGCCCCTCACTTAGGACGTAGCCCTGAAATGGCTATTCAGCCATCAATAAGAAACTTAGGAGCTGCTAATGTCTTAGACTTCTCACGGTTAGGCCTAAGTGTAGTGATACCTCATTGTTAATTGGTTCCAGGAGGCAATATGAGTACCAAAAATGACAAATACAAAATAAAGTGTTTTGTCTAATAAAGGTAGTCATAGAGCAACCAATCTCCAACAAGTTCTAGTTTGTGTTTCAAGTACCAAAAAATGACAAATACCAGAATGAAATTTTCATGTTAAAATTTGTGAAAAAAAAATTTGACAAGTTTCAAAGAGTTAAGTACGCAGGTAATCAACTTTTAATTTCTTCAATAAATTAATTTGACCTCCCTTAAAGTAATACTTATCATTGGCAACCATAACAACTTAACCATCCAAGGCTACTAGTAATTTTTTTTTAATCATAAGTAAGATGACTCAGCATGCATCAAAATTTTAAAAATGCAAAGATGATGCCTCTCTATTGTGGAAAGTATGCTGAGTGCTTTATAAGAATTCTGTGAATGGGAACTAATACCACATTATCCCTTTTCTTTTAACTCACTATTTCTGAAACTAGACCTCATTTAAAAACTATGTTCCTGAGATCTCAGTGAGAACGCTGAGGCTCCCCTGCCACTGCCAAACATTCACGTCAGAAGCTCTTAGCCGTCCTTCCACTTTACCCCTGAAACAACAACATTAGCTTCTACAGCTGGTTCATAATAAACATTCAATGAACCACAGAAACATAGAAAACTTCTTTCTTAATGTTTGGGTCAAAATCAAAAATAAAAAGCAGAAATATAGAAATCAGGACACATGCCACTTTATTCACCTTCATTTTCTCAATTTTAAACATCATCTCTGTAAGTTTCCTTATTGACATGGTATAAAGTCATTTACTTATCTACCATGGAAAATATCACTCAATATTTCTGGTAGATCCATTTGTACTTTTAAAATCAACTTTGTTCTGAGGGCTATTAAATATTCGGCACAAATGAATTGAACATCCCAAATTCAGAGTCTGCAAGTTAACCTGGAATTAAGTACTTGAGGATATATATATATATATATAAAAGCATTCCAGGAGGAACATTCCTGTAACATTTCTGTACTACCTAGACAGGTAGAATTTAGTAAATAGGGAAAGATTTTATTTAAATAACTGTTTTGTTGTTTTTTCAAAAGTATTTTAAAGAGAAAAACTAGAAATATCTTGTCATACTGGTTTATGTGATGAGCAAAACCAACAAGCTGTAAAAATTACAGCAGAGTTGAATGCTTGCCGTACCTTTCTTCCAAACTCTTTTCCTTTAATTTTGAGCTTATTGAGTTGAGATTCTGCTGCCTCTGCCCTTTCTTTCACTTCATTCAGCTCATGTTGTTGCTTCTTATACTTGGAAAGATACTGATTGGCTTGTGCCTCCTGTAAAAAATTAAAAATAAGAAAAAGAAAGGAATTGATAGACCTACATCATAGTTTCTGCTCTGAGAAAGGAAAGTTGAAAAACGTGAAAAGCATATAAACTATTCAGTATTGAATGGATAGTCTACTTTGGTCTATGACATAGCGATTGAGATTTTCTAGTAAGCACAAAAACCTATTTTGATACTTGCTGTTCCCTGAAAGTTTAGAACCTGGTGAGCACTTTCCACCAAATGCATGTAGTCCTGCTTTCACAGACTTGCTGGGTGCCACAATAATCACAGTTGTTTTTTTAATCACAGTTCAATATACTACTTTATGTCTAAGTAGAGGGGGCTAGCCTTCAATATTATGAGTCAATAAATACTAGCAATGTCTTCACTAAAATAATAAAACTAATCAACTCAAAAATCCCTCAAAAATATTATTAAGCATAAACCAATATATTTGTGGCAATCAATAATTGCAATCCATGTTGCTATGGATACCAAACAAAGATGGCATGAATCTCAATGATGTTGGTCTTGTCCACAACCATGTACAGGCTCATCAGAAAAAAAAGTACTTTTAACTACTTTTATGTTCACCCAAGGTTTGGGAGTGAGAGAGGACCTAGAGTGAAATCCTTCTAGAAATTTCCTGTCCCTGTATGAAACCCTGCTCTTATCTAGAACATTTCTTCTAGTGCACATGTTTGCATGTAACCACAAGGTTGATGGAGGCAGCTTTTGCTCCTGGAGGGAAAAGCAGCACAAATTTCTCCTTGAACAACAATCCTAACAAGAATAACCAGAGATTGGGCTGACATTAAGTCCTGCGGGTCCTTTCTGCCCCACGAGTCACCTAACTGAGTCTTTTAGGAAAAACAAGGGCTGGGAAGCCATATGGTTACAATTGTACTTACCGCTACCTCCACTTGATGCTTGTAACTTTGCACTTTCAGCTGAAGTTTATCTATCATAGTCTGCATCCTGCTCAGATTTCTCTTGTCTTCATCTGCCTAAAACGCATAGGTACACATATGAAGACTATTTGAAAAATCCAGCAGTTACACTGGGCATAGACTCAAGTAAGAAATGAGGGTAGAACGTTTTGTTAAACATCTGAGAATTATAAAATGATTGAAGGTTAGTTGTCCCAAGCTTTAAGAAATTAATAAGCACAGCTCTGTGAATGACAGAGCCATTTCTCTTGATGCATCACAGCAAGCTATCAGTTTTTTTACTGGAGGGGAAGTTAAATACCGTTTTCAGCTGTCCATTTCAGTGAAGCTACGTATCTGCCTGGGGTGCCACACTAGGAATGGAACATACTACTAAAGTGATATGTGTAAAACAAGAACCCACCCCTCAACCAAATCAACTCATCCCTTGAATTTCTTAGTTGATTGTTTTAGGATTATGGAACTACAGAAAAGGTGATTTTTCTGAGACTGCTTTATGTATATCAGCAAAGGAACATTCAATACATGGGGGTCTTGATAATCCATCTTATCGCCTCAATTACAATCCAGTCTTTGACTAGAGAAAGGACATCTGTGAGAGACAGTGCTCTCTGTGTTTCAGGAAGCGTCTGTTCTTCTAACAAGAGGGGCGAGGTGAGAACGTGGACGGAACTCCTCAGGCACCTTTTCTGTAATGACCCTTTAACCACAATATTTCCATTTCAGAGCTGTTGAACTCCCCAAAGAAAAAAATATTTCAGCTTGATGAAGACTGAAAAGCATTTAATGAAGACATTTTCCCTGGTACTCAGCATTTTTTTTTTTTTTTTTTGCTTCATTTGCCTCTTCTATTGAGTATAAGCTCATAATGGCAGATTTAGTGGATGCTAACTGTCCTTCAAAGACATTAAAGGCAAGGTGAAGGTTCAGGCCATCAAGAAGCACTATGAAAAGGTGGTAAGGCCTTTGAGAGGCGAAACCTACTGAGTAAAGTGAAAACCACACTAAGGCCAATTTACTATTTTAAAAGATTTTTTTACATATTTAAATATAGTGCTCATAAAGTCTCTAGCCCCATCAGCTTCATTTTCAGGAAGTTCCTATGCGAGTGTAGGAACCCTTTTTATCTTTTATGACATCTTTTTCAGTTACCTTCCCCATGTTTAGTATACTTACATACATCAATATATGTGTCACAAATGCCCACAGTGTTCAGTGTAATAAGATTCTGTACAGGTTTGTGGCCCATAAGCAACAAGCTCTGTCTTATACCCTAGATCTATAGACTACAGCATTGAGATTTATGTAATTGCACTGTGTGGTATTCACACCACTATGAAAATGGCTAACAATGCATTTCTCACATGAAAACCTGTCCTAAAGCCGTGTGTGTGTGTGTGTGTGTACCAGCTGTGTGCTAAGATTATGCTACCACTAGAGTGGAGAATGGTAAATCACACTATCACTGAAGCTTACTATTCCATCAGGAAGAAAAGAGAAAAATAAAAAGTAAAACTGTAACTGAAAAATTATATTTCATTAATTATTTATAAGAAACATGCTCACCTCTATTTAATTATTTGAGACCAATAAGAACAGTCTAGATCCAAAAAGACTTAGAGAATATTTGCTTTAACATTTGCTTTTCCCATTTGGCAGGAACAAGAGTTTGTACTGACCTTGAGTGAGCAACCAGAAACAGGAGTGGAAATGTTCCCGCTCCAATTGGTCAGCATCCCACTTAATGTGCTGGCCTGTGGCCATCTGAACCTTTATTTGCCACTTAATTTACACATTGTTTTCACTCAGCCTTTCATGGCAGCTTTCAAGGCAGCTTTCTCAAAGAGCTACAAACTCTAGGTGTAAAAAGTAAGAATGGTTTCGACTTCCAATACCAAAAAAAAAAAAAAAAAAGAAAAGAAAAAGAAAAAGGAGAAAAGAATGGTACAAATAGGTTTTACTTCTAATTGCAATATGCCACCTCTAGAAAGGGCCAGTCCCAGGAGGGCGAGTCTGTGTCTGCCACAGGAGTCCCCAAAGGCCATGTGATTCTGGATGGAACACATTTCTGCAAGGATGAAACATTCATACATACAGGAACAAGTTCACAGAATACCTGAGAGTTCAGCTCTTTAATGCCCCTTTCCAGCCTTCGAGCTTCCTTCTGGGCCTCTGCACTGCGACGGACCTCCCCGTCCAGCTCACTTTCCAGTTCACGAACCTAGAACCAAATCGTGGAATCAGACTTTACTTTGGCAGCAAGGCTGGCACTGTGTCTGCCAACTGAAGGGTCCTAAGAAATGGAGTGAAAGAGTAGAGGGAGGATGTGCTCGTTTTCTTTGCTCTAGAGACTTAAACAGGGCTTCATTCTGGGAAAACCTTCTCTAAAAACGAACTGGTTGAACTATATCAGCTCACAAAAGGACTGTAAAGACTAAAGGAAGTGAAAGGCCTTTCATGCAGAGAGTACAGGCTTCCCCTCTTGCATTACAAAGTCACACCCATGCTCACACAAATGTGCATGTGGGAACATCTGTAACGTGGAGACTACTGTATACTTGTCAGCTTTGGCACATTCAGCCAATGCACTCATCCTTCCTTTATGTTCAGCTCTGACTCTCTAAGGGAATTAGACCCTGTGTCTCTCAAAAACGCATTGCATCCCCAGTTCCTGCTTTCTGGGAGAGCTATAGTAGGAACTGTCTGTGTGGCCTTATAGAGTCATACAAACAAGATTAACTACTACGCACCCACCCTGGAGTGCAAGGCATAGAACAGGAAACAAAACAGACACCTCTTGCCTGTATGAGCATGCATTCTCACAAAGGAAGCAGGGAAGCCAAGCAACTGTAGAATTATATTTGGTGGTGTCAAGGGCTAGGGAGAGAAACAGGCAGGAAAGGGGCTGGAACAGGGCGCTGGTGCAGAAAGGGTGTGAGCTGCCCTCCTGAGAGGGCTCCTAGAAATCAGCCCTCTTTCTCTGAAGTCTCCTGCACTCAAAGCCACATGCTCAAGGAGGCCTCTTGGGTCACTTAAAACTGCGCAGCTGAATGTTCCGAGGCCTGGCTGCCTGTGCCACTGACCCCACTCTCACCCTCCTCACATACGTATTGCCATTCAAGCCAGACCCTCCTTGTCATCCTCATAGGGAGGCAGAGAGAAAGGGACGGTGAGCAGGTGCGGGTGCAGATGAGCTCAGTAATGTGGATCTTCTGGATCCCTGGGCAATAGGAGCTTAGCCCACAGTTACCAGGATGTGAGCTAATGGATAACAGTCCCCTCCTTTGTTTTCTAAAAGATTTGTTAAGGAATTGTTTGCTTTGTTTTGTCTTTAAAGGTGATTAAAACACATCTTAAAGCAAATCTTACTCTGTATATAATTCTAATGGGTAATAATGGTTGCCAGGCATTTGTGTCTCAAATGTTTATGTGTTCAAGCTTAATTCATGTTCATGTCTTGCAAACTCAATTCCAAAGTTCATATGTTAAAGACATTCAGAAGTGAGGCAATTGTAAAGGAGGCAATCAGTACTAGATGCGGTCCTGAGGGCAATGTGTGAAGGATGGCATCAGCAGCTTTATTAGGAGAGAAACAGACTCATGATAGCATTATTTCTGTCTTGCCATCATGAAATACCCATGTCATGATATGATGCAGCTAGAAGGCCTTCACCAAGCCATGCTAATGTCAGCACCACACTCTTGAACCTTTTAGCCCCCAGAATCACATGCCAAATAAATTTCTATTGCTTATAAATTACCCAGTCTCAGGTAGACTTCTATTGTAACAAAAATGACTAAAACAATGATATTCTAATTATATTTTTCATAAAATTAACGATAAGTCATTAATGTCATTTCATATAGTAGCTGACTACTATTGAATTCTCATTGGTTGTACAACGTAACAAAGAACAGTCACTGAAATAAAACAAAATCTTATAGTCTTAAATTGGAGTTGGACATACCAGTATCATTCATATATTTTTAAGGAAATAGGGGTTTTACACATTCTTTGATTTCACACTTATGTGATTTTTCCCTTCTGTTAAAAATCTGAATTATTACATGTTTTAGACATCTTTTTCATTGTTAGGACAAAATATCTGATTCCCACAACCTGAAGAAGGAGAGGTTTATATTTTGACTCACGGTTTCAATCCAGAATTGGCTGGGTCCAGTGCAGAAACATCATGGCCGAAAGGCATAGTGGAACAACATTGCTCATTTTAAGGTAACCAGAAGGCAGAACACAGGAAAAGAGCACCCTGAACTCCAAAGGTGTACTCCAGTGGCCCACCTCCTCCAGTACACCTCCTAACAGCCTGTGTAGCTATGTATTCATAAGCAGATTAACTCACTGATGAGTTTAGCATCCTTATGATCCAACTGCTTTCCAAAAGCCCCACCTCTGTACACACGACACTTTGTGGGGGACGTCCCAGATCTACACAATAACATTATATATGTCGTTGTATAAACATATTAATCTTAATGCTTGTAGAAATAAAATGTTATTTTGGAATAATAAATGCAGCCTGTCCCCTCCCACACACCGATTTTTGTCCTTAAGATATATGCTTTGAAGACTATACAGAAAAACATTGTGTTTAAATATTAAAAGTCAATGGGAATAATCCTTTGTGTATGTTTTATTTCCCCAACTTGATATACAGCTAGCTTCATTTGCTTCCATTGGTATTAAAATTTTAAGGATGATTGATTTTTTCTATTTGATTTAACATGTTCATGAAGAGGCCATAATTTGTTGTCTCACTCCCAGGTGGCTCTGATTTGAATTTCATGGTCTGATGTTAAACAGCTAACTACCAGAGGTTCAAGCTGCCAAATGGGATAATCCCACATGTACCACTGGTGGTACGAGCTGGCAAAAATGTGTTACTTATTTTTTTAATTCTGAGCTACATAAATGACTTACATGATTTTGCAATCAAAACAGCTTTTAAAAGTATATGCCAAAGGGCTCAATTTCATCTCTGTGTTCTTCTGAGGGTAGTCATTTTGTTGGTTTTTAATTTATGCTATCATTATTTCTTCTTTATAGTATGTGAAAATGTATATATACCTTCAAATTTCCTGCCTTTCTTGCACAAAATCATGGATTTTCACCATATTGCCTTTATATTTTATCATTGTCCTGCTGCTAAATGTCCAGGACATATTCCTGAGTTCTTCCTCATTTCTCTTCAATCTGCATAATCTTAGGTGTTTATAATAAATGTGCACTGATGTTCTGTCATGGTATAAAGCCATACATTACTTTCAGATTTCCCTGTGAACCATCAAATCCCAGCAGAATATTTTTGTAACTTTTGTAATATTTATCATATGTCCTGTACATAGTCACTGAAACTGATTCAATAATTTAAAAATTTCTAGCAAGGTATGTCTTCCTATGTGTTTTAAAGTTCTCACGAGGCATATACTACACCATTTCTGTCATCTCTTGCTGTATCTCTCTGTAGTGAGTTCTTCTTGATTATGGATTTGGTTTTTTCTTTTCTCTCACAGTTAGGAAATGGGCATTTTCTACAGAGAAAATACCCGAAGCAAAGGTACAGAAGCAAGACAGCAACAGTGTATCGGATACAGTGGTTCACCCTCCCCTTTTAGCATCCCCAGTTGGGGTGGTGAGAAGGAACACTTCCACTTAACAGTAAAAGGGAAGGCATATTTCATCCAATCCAAGACAAGTCCTATTTGCCTATTTCTGCCAGCCAAAAATGAAGTAAAAAATGAATGGAGATATTGAGAACAGACAGATCTGAGTCAGACAGATCTGAAAGTGCTAAAAACAATGAGACGTGAAATTCCTAGACAATAATCCTTGAATTGGGGCTGTCAAACCATTGGGATTAAACAGGCAAACTCTTACCCTGGATTCTAGTTTCTGGGTTTGCTTTTTGCTCCCCATCAGGGCAGTCTGCTCAGCTTCATCCAGCCTTTTATGTAAGTCTTTAATTGTCTGCTCCATATTCTTTCTCATCCTCTGTAAGTGAGCATTGGTGTTTTGTTCCTTCTTCAAGTCCTCTGACATATTTGCTGCCTTTTAAAAAAGAAGAAAAAAAGACTAATGTAGTCCAGAAGCCAATGAGTCTTCACTTTGCTGCTAATAATCTTCAATTCCTGGTTTAACTGGATGCCACACCTCGCCTGTGTGTATTTAACCCACTTCCCCTAGTATATCTCCCTAACACCTCAACTACTGTCGAGTTTATGAATAATAAAAGAAATAGAGAAAGCAACAACCCCAGAAGAGACTGAATTAGCAGAAGTAGAAACAGAATAAAGACGGAGTGCCATGTGAACATAATGATACAACATCTCTGTTCAAAGAAAGATGACCAACTGCAGTAATGACTTTTAATTCAATGAAGTGGTGGCAGAGTGTTTATTCCTGGGTAATGACTAGTATCACACACTGCACCAGGAAATGTGTGGGAAAGGGCCTATTAAAATATTTCTCATAATTCACTTCTATAATTCTGAAATTTATTACTGTAAACAAGTTAGGGTTCCAAGAAATTGGCAGCAAAAGATGCTCTCAGTGCCAACAATTTGGCATGAGAAAGGTTAGTTGTGGAATCTGCCCTGGGCTTTGGCTACATGTACAAGAACTGTAATTTCTCAATGAAATTATTAAAAATGTTTCACAAACAATTTCTCAGTGTATTTCATTTAATAATGTGACTCTCCCAGCCAGACTTTTCTATCTGGTTAGCAATTTATGGTTTGAAATTGTTCCACAAAGTCTGGACTGTTAGGAAGCTCTGCTTGCTGATACTGGGAGGTGAGACCGTTAGGAGATGAGGGGTAGTGGGAGATCCTCAGGTCAGCTGGGGATGGACTGTGGGACCCCAGGCTCTGACTGTCTGCCTGACAATATCACCTCCTCCACTTGTGCTCCCTCAGTTCTGATCTTATTTGCCATGAAGCACTCACCAGTGCCAAGCTGATCTTGGAAGCATGGCTTTAAACATTAGAAATCATGAGGTAAATAAACCTCTTTTTTACCTAGCATCATCTATTTTTAATAGGAACAACAACAACAAAATATCCAGAGTGTGACAGAAAATTACCGAGGAGTGAGATTGCTAATATAACTGAAAATACAGAGGCAGGAGTTGAAAGGGTTTAAGAAACTGAGCTTTAAAAAGTCTAGAATGCTGTAAGCAGAACATTAACTGTGATTCTGGTGAGGTCTCAGAATGAGGCAGGAAGCTCACGGAACTTTGAGGTAGCCACTTGAGAAAGCCAGCAGCTATACTTCTGGGTGACGAGAGAGGGAAAGAAAGCAAATGGTTAATCAAGGGGAGAAGCCACTACACTCTGGAAATAAGGAAACAGGATGCAGATCCTGGCTAAGATCCACTTATGTCTCTATCCTGTCCAGAGATACCTGCCCCTTGTATTTAAAAGTGAATAATTAATGGCATTCCTTTGAGACCGCATAATAAAATCAAATGGCTCCTTGTGCAAGGCTCCTCTATTTGTGATGTACCAACTTTGCTGTCCTCTTCTAGGCTGGCTGCTATCTGTGGAGCATCCATCTGTGTTTCTTCCCTATAATAAACCTTCACTTTATTTTCAGTTTAGAACTGGTCTATGTCTGATTTTCATCTTACAAGTGGTTATGAATCCTCTCTAGCCAATGACAAGACAAAGGAAATAGGGAACTAACCTTAGGTGAAAATGAGGATCTGATTTGAAATATGAAAACAGTTACCTTTGATAAGCCATAGAAAGGAACCTGGATACAGTATATTTATGTGCCTGGATATAATATATTTATACAATATATGAACATACAAAGATGAACATAAGAACAATGGAGTAATTTATCTGGTAAGGATTTCTAACAAAGCACTTAGGGTACAGCATGGATATTATTGGTGCTTTTTAGTCATATTTACCATGAAACACATGAGCAAAGGGAAATAGAAAAGGAAGACTTGGGAAATCCACAGCCTGGTCAGAGAGAAAACTAAAACGTATCTTGAAGACCAAAAGTAGCAACTGCAGCATCCCTGCTAAGATTAGCGTGGAACAGAGGGCTATGTGCTAATTGGCAAAACAATGAGAAAAAAGGTTTTAGGGCCTCTTAGAAACCTTTGAGATTTTTTTCCCTCTCATTATAGGCCGGGAAGGACAAAATAGTTTCATGAGTACCCCGGCACCCTCCCTGAGCTGGCCCTGTATTCATCTGGTGAATAATCCAAGGCCACAGCAGTGGGTTAAGCAGGCTCAGGCATTGCTCATTATGCTGGCAGACCTTGGTGTCTGTAAAGTGCTGGTTTTGCAATTAAGCAGAAAACAACAGCTAAGGATTATGCAGCCTTCCACCAAGAGTTCAAAGGAAAGCCTAGGCAGCCAGGCAGAAGTTTACTACAGGGCCAGAGCCCTATAGAATAACACTGATGAGCAGTATCTAGTGTGGCCACGGGAGTGGTCTGTAGTAGGACAGAGATCCTTATGGGGAAAAGAGACAATTCTCAGGCCTTAATCTGTGACTTATTGTTACTAATTTGCCCTATCTTCTCTTGCTAACAATGTACGGAATGCGGCTACCCATGATCCTTTACTCTCATGGCCAGAACCAGTTTCTGTAATAGCAGATAGTAAGTATCCTGGTGTCTCCAAGAATCAAAATAGCTGCAGATCCATGTCTAACTCTAGTAACAGATCCCATATTACATGAGGAAAAAGTCTCCCCAAGTGAGCTATACTCATGATCTAGTGGGAAATTTCCAGCCCCTTGCCCACCCCAGTGGTGTTACAAAAGATAGATACAATTCTGTTTTCTTTTTTTAGCACTGGGGATCAAACTCAGGACCTCATGCTTGCCAGACAGGCACTTATAACACTGAGCTAAATCCCCAGCCCTGCAGTTCTTTTATTAATGAGTCAATCTGATCTGCTTCATCAAATTCGTGCATCTTACAGTTACTCAAGCTGATGGGCCTTATTTTCTCTTACTTCCTAGGTCTGTGTAATAAATTTGCCCATATCGGGGCTGGGGATTTAGCTCAGCGGTATAAGCGCCTGCCTTGCAAGCAGGCAGTTGTGAGTTCGATCCCCAGTACTGATAAAAAGGAAAAAGACAAAAAATTGCCTATATCTTACAATGACATATCTATCCTAAAATGTTTTTCTATGACAAGAGTTGATCAACTACTACACTAGGAGGAGCAAGTTAAAGTTCTCCATCTTGAGACCACACAAGTCTTGTCTGGTGGCAGATCCATAGTACAGATCCTAGAAAGGCAGATAAAATAGCAACATGCAATCCTTGCTGAGGAAAGCTACATGTGGTATGCAAAACTGAAATTAAAAAGTAATCATGTTGTCTAAAATGAGCAGAAACAAAAGGCAGAGATGCCCTCACTGCAGTGTACATGACAGGCCAGGCTTAGAATTTGAGAATTAAATGTCTTGCTAGGAACTGGACTTACTTTGAGATTATTCCTCTGTGTCCCTGTTTTTCCATGCTAGAATATGAATGCTTATTTTAATCTTGTCCTGCTATTGCACTGTAAAAGATTTAATCTTTTTTTTTTTTTTTTTTTTACTTTTACAGAGGTTCACAGCTGCAAGATTTTGCCTTAGGTCTCGGCTGAGACTTTGGAATGGGACTTTTGTGTAATGCTGGGTCTGTCATGGATAGAAAGTACATTTTGCACAATATAGACTTTGGGCAGCAGGAGTAAAATGCTATGATTTTGATGCATTTTGGGTGTCGGGCTTAATGTGTTAGGGCTTAATTTTCAATGTGGAAGTGTTGGAAGATGAAACCTTTAAGAGGCAGGGTCCAAGAGGAGGTCCTTAAATCAAACGGAGAAGAGATTTGGAGGATTCAGTCACCCTGGATGCCTACTTGGCTTTATGATCTCTTCCTGCCATTGCAGCCCCAGTTGCTGTGACCTCCTCCCCAAAGTCATGCTGTTGTGAGTGCCATGTGGTTGAGTCACTAGAACTGTGAGTTAAATGAACCTCTTCTCTTGGTAAAGTATTCAAATATTATGTCATTATAAATAAAAAGTTGACTAAGACACCAACCATCTATAGAATTGCTGTGAACTTTCCATATAGATAGGACACAGAATGAAATAGAGGCAACTTTGGGCTTTGCTATCTGGTATCAGGACTTAGAGAAATACTGTTAGAGAACTGAAAGGCGGCAAAAAGAAGTCGTGAGTTCAATTTTCAACACAGTCAAGATAACCATATAAGGCTAATAACCTTAGCAGATAGCATCTTCCATAATGTGTGACTAAAGAAATTCGCCAAAATCTTAAGTAAAATCTAACTGAAGGTCTTATTACCTTAGCTCCCCAGGAGGTCACTTTTTCTTCATACAACAATATCAAGGCTGCTACATGTATTGTGCATTTGATGGACCGTGCAAAAGTCCTTGAGAAGGTGTGAACAGAAACTGAACTCTAGCCCAAGACCCCTGAATAAGCTCTGGGACCTGTAATTCTTGCCTCTCACCTATACACATACACACAAAGTTGTCTCTATATTCTCCTTCCATTGTTTTTGTTTGTTTGTTTTGTTTTTGCTTTGTTTCTTGTTTTCTTTTCCTCAATGGTATCATCTCCTTACTATGTCCTTTGAGAGAAATGCTGCATCTGTCTACAAAAAGTACCCAGAGGATGGTCTTTTCTAGTACCCACAAAGGTACCTTACGGATGACAACCAACCTAAGCTTAGTGTTTTTTATGGAAAGCATGACAATGACAGCTTTAAATTTGCAAATAAAGAAAGTCCATTACCTCTGAAGCCCTTCTTTGCCAATTTGTTTTGCTATGCAGGCAGAGTATGGAGTATAAAACATAAGTCACATAAGCACTCTGTTGCTGTTAATTGTGACATGTCAACTTGAATTAAGAACTACATATCGGAATGGTGTATTCTGAGTGTGTCTGTAGATGGCTGATACATAGGCCAGCAAACTGAGTGGGGAAGACCCATGCCAGATATGGTGGTGCCAACCAATAACCTTTTTGCTTGGGAGCATCAAAAGGGAGAGAAGGAAATGTTTCTCTTTTGGGGAAGAGTTCGGGTCTTCACCATTGCCTTTGGACATTAGTCCCAAGTTCCTAAAGCCTTCTGATGCAGACACTTTAGTTTTCTGAAGCAGACTCTTGGGCCTTCTGAAACAAATTCGTATCTGTGACTGGAAAGAGCTTTCAGGTCTTTAACTTTTGACTGGTTCCTTCATGTTCTAGCTGTCCAGCATGCAGACAGGTAGTTTGGATTCTTTCATCTCTAATCCAGTACACAACCACTGGGACTTTTCGCCTTCAGATCCTATAAGCTTACTTAATAAATCCCTTGTATAACCATACATATAATTCACATTGAATCTGTTCTTCTAATGCTAACACCCTCTTTTAAAATCATCATCATAAAACCAATATAGGCCCTAAGGAGGGAATATGAATATATATATATATCTATATCTCTCTCTCTATATATATATATATATATAATTGTTTTTATATATAACTTATATTGATTCACAAGTGGAAAATTGCTAAACTTAAAAAATCGTATTCACAAGATTTTTGTGATATTCAACTGCTCCTTTTCATTCCCAGGGTAGTTTAGAAGTTAGGAGTCAATTGGCCTAATGTTCAAGCTGAAAACAGGGAGGCAGAGGGGTCAGCTAACTTCTATCTGACTGGATGAAGACTCAGTGGAAGCCTTTTGGGCTGCAGATTGGCCCCCCTTCTAGTTTACTGCTCCAGTAAACTCCGGAAAGTCAGACCAAGCAGGCAATCAACAGACCCACCTCAGTGTCTGCCTTCTTGACCTTTTCTTCTGCATTCTGACATACCCGCACCATCTCTTCTGCATCTTTTTGCATCTGAGCAACATCAGCCTCCAGTTTCTTCTTCTGGCTGAGAAGGCTTGTGTTCTAGGGAAAGCGGCATACCTATTAGGCAAGTTGAAACCAATCCAAATGCAAATGGTCTGTTCAGCTCATAGTCTGGGAGGCAGCTGTGGCCAGGAGCCAAGTTTTAACAGAGTCAGCTTTATTCAATTAAGCAAGACTTTCAAACCTAGGATGTAAACTAACCAGAAAGGATTTCATCCACTTGTAGGTTCATGACTAAAGAGAAGGGAGCCTGAATTAGAAAAAAGAAATGCACCCCAGATAACCTACAAGTCCAACATGGGTTTAGTTTGAAACATGCTAAGGAGTGTTTTCTGTCTTATGCTCTTTAACGTATAAACAGTCCCAGAACAGAGTGACTGCAGAGTCGCCTGCAGTCATCTGTTTTGCAGGAGCCTGCAAGATAAAAATCAGACTTTCAAGGATCTTCTCCAGGAAATAAAACAGAATTCTTTATTCATCTGCTTGGTATCCTGTCTGACCCTGCAGTAAGGAGGAGAGAAGAGCTCACGAGAGTCTTCATCCCTAGCCTTCAGGAACCATCATGGAAGGGAGGACAGCACGCACAGCCTGCTGCCCCGTTCTGTCCTTCCTGAGCTGACTAAAGGTCAAATCTGCCTTTGCTGTACCTGGTCTGTGTTTGAATACCAGCTGTTCTGAGGGTGTGACTCTTAGCCCAGTGCATGTGTGTGAAAGCAATGTTCTTTCTACGTTTTATGTCTCCTTTCATTTCATCCTTCCACATTATCCTTTCCTTTTCCTCTAGCAAGAGATTTTCTTGAGAACAGGATTAAGTCTTAGGAATAGAGACGGAGTTTCCAGCCTGATGGGTTCTGCTTACCTTCTCTTCCATGGCATGAAGCACCACCAAGATTGCCCATTTGGTCCTGTGGAGAGCCAGACCCTGCACACCTAGGATTTCTACTGCCATGAGGGAAGTGATTTTGGGCAAGTGTTTTTTTGGATGGTCACTGCAGTCAACTCCACAGGAATTCTTTCTTTGTAAAGGAAGGTATACTCAGAAACACTGATTTGTTTATATAAAGAATTATTTAAAATCTTCTAGGGAAAAATGTTTATAAAGTTTCTGCAAGGTGAGTGACTCTGATTTACTCATTTTTAGCAGGAAGGAAATTAAGTTTATATTATCACTGTTCAGATTTCAAAGGGAGAGACAGATCTTCAGCCTAAGATAAGTTTGGCCTCATATGTCTGATCTAAGCAAGAGGTCCTTGAGAGCAATGTGCCACCTGGGGTGGTGCGGGTCAAAAGAGTAATGTAGACCAAGAGTGGCGCCCATGGACTTCCTTGATTCCTGGGTCTCACTGCAGAGCATTTGATTCAGGAGGTCTGTAGTGAGGCCTGGGAATTGGCACTTTTGTATTATTGACTCTTTTACTTTAATTTTAGAAACTCTACCCTACAGACAAGGCCTGCACTACCTAATTTTCATTTTTCCCCCTCAAAATTTTCTTGTCTATATGTCAGCTTTTTCTCTGGTTAAAATCTCTCTCTCTCTGTCTGTCTCTTTCTCTCTCTTTCTTTCTTCCTCCCTCCCTCCTTCCTTCCTTCTCCCTACATTTTTTCTTCACATTGTAATCTACCATGCATTGAGTTATAATATACCATACAGTTGAAACACTATGTTGCTTAAATTGTTCTGTTCTGACCCATATTGCTATGCTGTTATGTACTCTTTTATCTCAATCTTCCCCCTTTTTAAAAATTTATTTCATTATTATTATTTTTTAATGAAGGGAAATTTTTTTAAAAAAATTAGAAGGATATATTATAGTAAATTTTTTGATTTTCTATTAACTAGATTTGAAGCTCCATATTGCTCTCACCATCTTGTTTTGACTGATTTTACTCTATTCTGTTCTGTTTGATATTATCAATTTTGAGGGTATAGGCAACTACTTTGAAGGCAATAAGCTTCACTATGATGCCCATTCTGGTTTGACTATTATCTTCTTTTGAAGTTCAGTAATGTCTCCAATGTTTAGGTTTTATTGGTTTTGTTCTGTACTGTTTTGTGCAATTTTATTATACCTGATGATATAGGCAATTCTTTTTAAGGTAGCAAGGGGCATTATGGTAACCATTGTTGATTACCTTGTATTCTGGTTTCACATCATGTACTATGTCCATCCTTTGTTTTGACCAACTCTGCTTTGTTTTGTCACATTTGGTTTTATTCTGTTCCAAAATAAGTAATAAGAACTGTGGGAGTAATAAAACCCCAAATGTGTAAATGTTATTGTAAAAAAAGAAAGGAAAAGCAAGTGCTCTAAAGGACACAACTGCAAGTGTGTTTAGGGGTGTAAGATAGATGATCATATTACTAAGTTTTTGTTGGATCATTGAACACAACTGTTTGCAGTTTCACTGTTTGAATGTCCACTTTGTATGCTTAATTTTGTAACTTGATCAACTATCTCTAAGATGGCAATACGTAATCTATTAACTAGTGATTTCTTACTGTTTATTTTTATTTTTTGAAATTCTGTATCACTTGTACCCTTTTGCTGTTTTTTTTCTCTTTAAATAAAAAAATTGCCACCAGTGGATGATTTACTTGTTAAAAAGTTAAATATTTGACTTCATAAGAATTCAGTACTCTCTACTAAGAAAAGCTTTATTCAGGAAAAAAGTAATTATTTTTCTCTTTAAGAGCTAGGATCCAACCCAGGATCTTGAACATACTAGACAAGTGTTCTATCACTGAGCTGTAATACCCTAACCCAAGAAAATGTTAAAGTTGGCTAGTCTGCTGGGATGTATAACCTACATTCTATTTGTTCTGTACCCAGTGATACCCAAATGGAATTACATCACGCACATGGACACAAAAGTTAAGTTGTGGGCAAAACTTAATTGCAGCACCTTCAGCAAGTACATTTTTGGTTTACACATCCTTTGGTCTACTATTTCGTGAGGGTCAGGGCATAACCAGCATTCTATGAAGGATAAGTCTATGATGTAGAGTTATCTGGCACTTTGAAGGAGTCTAAAACTGAACCCTGCCCATTAAAAGCCAGTAACACTTCCCAGTCATTGTGGCAGCCAGATGTTTTTAAACACCTCAAAGCATGGCAGATTGTCCATAGTTGCTTTCATCTATCTTTGAAGACTTTCTAAACTTTAAATCTGATACCTTCACTCTCAGCTAGTCAACAGGTTTTAGCAGATTCAGATAAAATTCAATCACCACCAGACTCAGGCTCAGGGTCCTTGGCAACTGATCACACCCGACTCTTAACGACATCTCTGTTCATCTTTCCTACCTGCCCTGTGCTCTAGATGTGTGAACATTTCTTAAAAGGTGCATTCCCTCTCCCCCATAGCTCTTCCCTCATTTCCCCCTTTCTGGCTGGTGTCTCCCTTGTCCTTCATGTTCATGAAGCCCATACATGTTAAGTGTAGGATTCTCAGAGAAGGCTTTCTGTAGGAGTGACCTTCCTCTATCACTACACCCACCACCCAGTTACAACTACTTACTTAGTTCATTGTTTGGGGACAGTGTAGACACTTTGCATCTCCACAGGCTTACCTATCCAGGTTATTGTGGGTGCTTTTGGCACAACTTATTTACTACAGATCTTTATGCTAGTCACTATGTCATCTTCTGATTTTAGGCAAATGGTAATGAATCTAAAAATTGTGCTTCACATCACATGACTACAAGTGAAGCTCAAGTACTATACTGGTAGCTCATTCTATCCAGTAGCCATTTAAACCTAGCCCTGGAAAGAGGTATTTATTCCTGCGATGTTGAGCAAGCAATTGGCTTAGGGAAAAGCAGGAGAATAAGGGGCATATTTGTAGAAAACAAGGATATAGTACATTCAACAATCCCTCTCTGGTATACAGGCCTTCAATGCTCTGTCAGTTCATTCTCCTAGCAGAAGGCTTAATGTTAATGGTTACATTATGTCTCCCAAAAGAAGGTACACTGAACTTCTAACACCTAGTTTCTCATAATGTGACCTAAAGAGGTAATATCACTAGATTTGCCCTAATCTAAAGTGACTGGTATCCTTATAAAAAGTGAAAATCTGAACAGAGCTTGACACCAAGAGATGATGGGAATTCACACAAAGAGAACGCTATGTGAAGAAGACAGATGGAGAGATGCATCAAACAAAAACAAGGAATGCCAAAGGTTATCTGCAAGCTCCTGTAAGTCAAAAGACAAGGACTGTCCCACAGGATTCAGAGGGAGCATGGCCTTCATTTTGGATGTCTAACACCAAACAGGATTCTGCAAGAATGACTTCCATCATTTAAAGTCATCCACTAGGCACTGCTTTGCTACAGTGGCCCTGGGAAATGATCATACTCAGGAACGAAAAGTGTGACATTGCCCAGAAGACCACACAGGCTCTCCCTGTACCTCACATGCCACACCTCAGCCTTGATGCGCCAACCGGGCTGATCCAAGACTGACCAGAGGTGGGAATCACTGCTTTCCACCATCTGACACTGACACTGACCTGACACTATAGATCTCACCTGGATATGAAAAAGATTGACTCTATCTGTGGCTTCCAGGAGCTCTTTCTCTGCCAGTTTGCGCCCACGCTCTGTCTGCTCTTGCAAAGACCTCAGTTCCTCTAGTTCAGACTGAAGAAGAGAGTTGCGTCTCTCAACCACAGCCACCTGCTCCTTCAGATCACTGTTCAGATGTGTGCTGTCATCCAGCTGCATTTGAAGATCCTGTGAGAGAAGATACGGACTTGGAGCATGGACTTCTCTGTTCATTATGAGATGAGGACCCATAAGTACATGCCAAGCTCCACCTACATGTCCCTTACATGATGAATGTAAGCATAATCTCACTCTCTTGTGGTTGAGATCTGTTGTTCTTACTTTGATTGCTCAGTACAATCTGTTGCTTAGTTTGTTTACAGAAGCATTTCAACCTCAACCCTGTATTACAAATTGAAAATACCTTCGTTTGACTCTGAAGCTGGTCCACAGATTTGGTTGCCTCTGACAGTTGGCGGTGAGCAGAACAAAGCTGGAGCTCCATGTCCTTGAGGTCCCCTTCCATCTTCTTCTTTACCCGGGTAGCCTCAATTCTGCTCCTAGCTTCAGAATCCAGACTAGACTGCAGAGCATCAATAGCACACTGCTGCTTCCTCCTAATTTTGGAATAATATTGAGGGGGAAGATATCACATACCCAGATTTAAGAAAATTTACATGCTATGTTCATAACAGTTTAGAAAATGTAAAAAAGTAAAATTCCAAACAAAACTCTAGGTAACTAAAAATGGAGCTAAAGGGTTTTCATTCTATAAACATAGTGAGAGGTGAGGCTAATGAGTCTGTGTTGATCATAACAGACTAAGGAAGGTTTACAGGCCAACTTCTATAAAGAATCAGGCACCTCTAGACTATTTTCATTGTTTCTGTGGGCCAATGGTAGCCTTTAAAGGATGATCAAAAGGACCCTTTAAAGGATGATCAAAAGCAAAGCCTTAGACTTCCAACAGTGGCTAGTAGTGAAGGACATGTGCTTTTGTAATGGCTGTGATATTTTAACTACTTTCAATGGTGAGAATTATCTTAACTGGGCAGAAGAGAGCTACTAAGATCAGAAAAGTCCTAAGACCCACCAATACTGCTCTAATAGTCCTCAGACACAACTGTACTTGAATAGGTTTATTTCTCTCTGGCAGTTTGAGAGAACAAGAATTGGCTGATAAAACCAGTTGCAATGTGATACTGAATGACTCTGATATTCCTTCATAAAAACCAAAATCCACGTCTGCCAAGCGACTGAAGCTGAGAAATGGCTATACATTTAGGAAGGCAATGAAAATGTTGAGGGGATCTATGACAATTTTCAATTCCCAGTTCCCCTGAAGGTAGTTGAGGACCATGTGGCTGACTGGGCTAGAGTGAAGTATTCCATTAAAAACTTCACCCACACAAATGTTAACACTTGTGTGAACCTGCAATCTCTCATCCCCATCCGTGGCTGCATGAGTTGGAAGGAACCTAATTTCTTGAGTTGTTAAGAAGGGTAGATAATGTTACTTCCTACCTCACATTGAAATCCAACTTGGGTGAAATTAAACTTCTGATATTTTAAGTCACCAAGATTTGGTGTTTATTCATCAGGACAGTTTACTGCTATCACTCACATATGCACTGGTAAGCTCACTCCATGAAACAGGACCCTGGACAGCTAAGTAAAGGGGATGCAAGAAACTTCTATCCTTTCTCATAGCATATTTCAGAAAAAACAGCAAAAAAAGTATTTGTCTTGGGTCCGAAAGAGATTGTAGACTGAATTGTCACAGAGCATGTGTCCTGACTTCTAAAATGGATCAGGAAGAAAACTGCCTTCATGGACGAGGATGTGCAAAGAGTTTGCAAGTGGATCATAGCTAGAGACTGTGGAAAAGATAGAAGCATCTCTTTTTCTTACATCAGGTCCTCAAAAGCAATTTAGAAATGTGTAGGGGTTACTCTTTATGGCTCCATAGCTCAGGGTCTTTACCACTCCTCTACACTTTCATTTCTCTTGACCCTAGAAATCAGGAGGGGTCAGCTAAAGCTGGCCTTCCATGCTTATCCTTAGGTGCTAAGCTTTTGTTCAGTTTCCAGATCAGAATAATACCAGCTTGCAAGCAAGTAATGTTAACAGGAATGCTCATATGATGAAGTCTTTTCTCTCATTTGTTTTACCTGAGTATTCCAGAATATGACAGTATTTATACTCAGGGACTCTCATAAGGTAATAAAAATAAACACCAGGACATTATGGTACATATTTAATCAAACAGGACTGGTGTCTTCACAAGGCGAGGAAGAGACACTAGGGATAGGTACGCAGGGAGAAAAGACCCTGTGGGGATCAAGTAAGAAGGTGATCATCTGTCTGCAAGGCAAAGATGAATCAAATCTGCCAACACCTTGATCTCAGGTTTACAGACCCTAAAATGAGAAAATTAATTTTTGCTGTGTAACCACTCCATCTGTATGTGTTGTGATAGTAGCCTATACAGACTCATATAGGCACACTCATACGCATCAGCACTACACATTTTAAGATGTTTCTAAGCCTTCCTGTGTCACTTTTTCCAAGGTCAACTCTCACTATACAAAAAGACTAGAGCACCCCTGGCTGGTATCAAGATCTTCTGTACAGAAATAAAGTCTGCTTCCATAGATAAACTGAATGTTTCAAATGCTAGTTTTACCACAGATGTCTAGGAAATGTCATGAGTGTCTGCAGACAAGACAATGTGGCTTACGATAGTGTGGCTTAACAGGAATGGAGGCTATAGACCAGAGAAATGATGACTAAATAATCAATACGTTTTATCCACAGTTCAAAAAAACGCTGAAAATGGAAACTCTCAAAAACATTTTTTTCAAAGAAAATTGAAATACTCATGACCAAGGGTAAGGATTTTTTTCTTTTTTCTAAAAAAAAAAACATATAAATTGAGCAAAGTTAAATTTTAAAAATCAGGACACAAATTTAAAACTTTTCAAAACTAATAATTTAAAATCAACAATTCAATAGGTCATTTTTCTCCTTTAATATTGCTCATCTCACTGAACTGCACAGCTGAATATGTACAGTTCACCTTCCAAATGATCAGCAAGGTATTTTTGAAAACTAAGTATCACATTTGAGTTTAAGGCCATACTTTCCAAAGACACACAAAAACATGTTACCTAAAAATCATGATGTTTAAACATGATTTTGGGGCAGAAATTCAGTGAGACAGTAAAAAATAAGAGTACACATAAGTTGAGATCGTATGACACAATTTGAAATGGCAGATTTCAGAGGAGTGGATCACATAGAAAGAAAAGACAATGAAAAATCATCAGATACCTGAAACTGTAGAGCTGGGTGGGGAAACTATGGGCTCAGGCCAAATCCTCCACACTCATTAGACTATTGTCAGGGCCTGTGTTTAAGTTACAAACTCAGAGCTAAGTGGTTTGCACAGAGACCACATAGCCCATAAGCTGAAGATAGGTCCTATCCAATGCAATACACAAAGTTTGCCTAGATTTTCCATAGCATAGGGCATCAAACTAAAGGAAACAAATGTATTATGATAGAATAAAGAATTTCTGGGGTAGCTGGGCGTGGTGGCTCACACATGTAATCCCAGCACTCGGGAGACTGAGGCAGGAGGATCACTGTGAGTTCGAGACTAGCCTGGGCTACAAAGTGAGTTCAAGGCCAGCCTGAACTGCATAGCTAGACCCTGTCTCAAAAAGACAAAAAAAAAAAAAAAAAAAAAAAAAAAAAAAAAAAAAAAAAAAAAAAAACCAAAAAACAACAACAACAAAAAAGAATTTCTGGGGAGAGCACAGTATGTGTGATGACCCTCACCACTGTGGTATTTTCCAGAACAGCTGGGAGAGGACTACAGCTGTGTCCCTGGAGATTAGGGATACACCTGAACAACCTGTTCAGAGAAGTCTTGATGGAAAGGTTTTCTGTACATGGCAATATGAGTACCAGATGGCCCTAAAACTGACCTCCTTCTCTGTGTCTAGACTGGAGATCAGAGTTGGTCAGCAAAGCTCTTCCCCTCTTCTACCAGTTGTGACTGCCCTGTCACCTCCCTCCAACTCTGCCAATAATAAACAACAGTAGAAATAAAGATAAAAATAGCTGTATCATCCACAAAAGGCTAGAAAGTTCTGACTAGACTAACAGGCACAGTTTCTGCCAACATTAAGAACTCAAATATTTCTAAATAAGTGAAATATATCATATAATACTACCTGTTAAAACAATTCATCGGGCTGGGGATTTAGCTCAGTGATGTAAGTGCCTGCCTGGCAAGTGCAAGGTTATGAGTTCGATCTCCAGTACCAAAAAACAAAGCCAAAAAACCTGCTGAACAATGCATCACACAGTCTCCAGGATGGGCTCACTCAGCCTTAAGACTTTTCCAGACTCTCAAACAGCTTGGCAGTAGAGGAGCTGTTGAATGAGTTACACAGGCTGTGAACTACCAAGGCTTGACCTTGCCCTTTGAATCTCTTCTCTGTGACTTTCTTGGTCCCTTCAATTTCCTGAATCCTGCCTTAACAGATTGCTTCAGGTTTTATGGAGCTGCTAAGGATTTTTGTGGATATAAGACACTAACACTATCTTGGCCTTAGGAAATCATTGTCATTGTGATTTATAATTTATTAGCTTATCTTTGATCACTTGGAATTCCATGCTTGTGCTTATTTTTTCCTTGGCATCCTATTCAGTTCAATGCTAGCCTTAGTCACAGTTAACCATCAAATTAAACTAGGGCATTTGGTATCATCTATACTCAGAGTGAAAGGGCTATTTGACATGCTCGCCTTTCCTTTCCAATTGTTCCTATTACTGTTACAATGGACCACTAATTAAAATTTAGGTAGAGTTGCCTTTGGCCACCTGTCCATCCTTTCTTTCTTTCCAGCCCCTCCACAGCTCAAGCTCTGTTCAGTGCTTTTTTCTCGTAATGTTGACTGTTGGTTCTCTGACGTCCTTTGCACTATGATTATTATAATTGGTAAACTGCTCTCCAATATTCAGATGTACCTTCTGAGACACACACTCTCCTAAAGATTTATATTCCTCAGCTTGGTTTATTTATAGACACAGGTTTGATGCAATCTGAAGTGAAGATTTTTGGTTTTATTGTTTTTTAACTGCATATAGAGACATTCATTTTTGTTCCTCTTGAGAGGAAATAGGATAAACATCAAGGCCCAATATTTTTATTCTTCATCAAAAAAATTCTTTTCAATGCTGATTTAGAGCCTCTTCATTAGACAAGAATTTCTCTCTGCAGTGAGTTCCAGGAAGGAAAATGCCAGTGAGAGACAGAAAAGATAATTTAATTCACATAGATGGTTCTGCTCTCCCCACGCAAATGGCTCAGGAAGAGGCAGGGTATGGGAAAACTTCTCTCCGAGGTGGCATTAACTTTAGTGAACGGCATCCAGGTGTTAGTCCTTTCCTCTATGGTTCAGCATCATTAGTTTTTTGAACACCCAAGCCAGTTGTGATGAGACCCAGACAGAATATTCAGTCATATACATACATTTATTATGTGCATGTTCTATATGAGAGTTGAAGCTGCTTGAATATAAGAGAATCATAAAAACTTATAGTAATTATGCATGGATATTACTTTATATTAACAGGGATGCACTTAATAGAAAATCTAGTGTAGAGCTGGACTACATTTTTTTGGTAATGTCCCAATAATTGTCATGAAAACCAATAAACACCATGAGGCCTAATCATTGAAAGATTCTGATATGTAACCGCTGCTCACCAGAATCAATTTTAATTACCTAAAATTTTCTATTTCTTCCTCTTTCTCTGAAAGCTTCCTTTCAAACTCCGCTTTAGCTTCTGAGAGTTCAAGCTGGATGCGAAGAATCTTGCTTTCATTCCGCTCCAGAGCTCCCTAAACAAATTAATTTATTAAAGAAACATTAAATGAAATACATCTTTTGATTGAAACTTTTGAACTTTTTTCTCTCAAAATATATGCCGCTGATGTAACTCTCTTTAGAGCTGCTGGGAGAGATCCAGGTTCTAATTAGTTCCTTAAAGATTAGAATAGAATGGAAGATCAGTGGCTGCTTTCAATTGTGGTTTCTGACATTCTTAGGTCTTTAGCTATAACTCCAAAACTAGAATTCTAGGACATTTTTAACCCAATATTTTACTGATTTTTTTTTCAGATCTAGGGATTGAACTCAGGACTTCATGTTTGCTAGGCAAATACTCTACCACTGAAGTAAATGACTAACCTAATTAAAAACTTTTTAAATGTAAAATTTCTAATCTCTGACTATATTTAAACTTTCACACTTTCTACTTTTTTACATATGCCATCTTTGAAGTGACCCAATGAAAGTATCAAAGGTAGAACAAAGAAAGTAGTAATTGCTGTTGGGAATCTTTGTTTGCTTTTGGGCATCACAGAGGGTTAAAGAAAAAACTGAATGCATTTAGTCATTCAGGAACAGAAATGTGTCTGATATTTTCATATGAAAAACAAACAAAAAGCCGAGGATACACTTGACACATAGCACTAAGTGAGAACCACTATCACCTTAACCCATTTATGTCAAAGACGGAACTTCTTTGAATTTTTGTATGAAGTTCACATATGTCATCTAGAAAAAAAATCACAGAACAAGAATGTGCAGAGAACACATTTCCTCATGTCCCATCGGTATGGATGTCCCACAAATGGATCATTAGGATTGAAGGATTAGTTAGCACTATCCCTGCAAATGGATTGTTTTGACAGGTGGGGAGATCTCTAAGTATTTAAGAATGACCTAAGAAATCATTGCCAGAGATGTAAAGGTCAATCAATTTCAAAAGTATAAGTTTAATGCAATTTTTAAAACCTATTCCAAAAATGTATATAAAAGAAGATGAAGCAATCTATTTGTCAGTGAACTCTGGCCAGTTCTTAGGGCAGAGGTAATTGCTTATAACCTGCTCTGAAGAGTGATTGACACAGAAGAACCATGAGTAAAAACAACTGACTAGTAATTTTAGATAAATGTAAGAAATGCGTTGGAAATTTTAGTAAGGTCTGCTTTGCCATTCTGTCACCCTACCTTTGTTTAGTATAAAAACAAAATTAGCCAGAAACAATGATTCAATAGCAGTTTCCTCATAGGGAAAGTTTTAGTTGCTTCAGGGGTAAACTCTGACCTCTGGCTTTTTAGAGTGCACTGAGAAAGTAAATCTTTAGAGAAAGTCACCTAGGATAATTTGAGCTCTGTGGCTTTTTAAAAAATTGATAAAGTTTCTCATAAAGGTTTACTGAGGATAAGAAATAAACCAAAGTCACAAATACAGGTCCAAGCTGAGGAAGTATTTATAATGTGCCTGGGGAAACAATTTGAAACAGGCTCATAGGATATACTGCCATCTAGTGGTATTACATGATACGGGTGCCGTAATCCTAACATTCTCAATTTGACTTGATGATGATTGATTTAACATACAGGGAGAAGGTTCTGGATTCATTTATGTGCAACAGAGTGACACTTATACAGTACACCCGTGAGAGTTTTCAACTTGCTCCTGAGTTGGGGGACTTACTGTACTGATTGGTACAGTACAGTGGTTTTATGTTCTGTCATACACTACATGTTAGAGTTATGCAAATAAAAGCAAGCTCATCAGGTCAGAGTTTCCTTGAACTATTTCTTTGCTTTGAATATTGTAATGTACAAACTATAGACAATTCCTCCTTTAGTGACTAATTCATTTAATGACTTAGTTGCAGGAATAGAACTCAGTCATGTAAAGTTCAGCAAATGTACAAGAATCAGTTTTCTGAGGAGACACCACACTGCTGAGGAAGAGATTTTATATGAAGTGTGACAACCTCAGGTGCCATTTTAGTATAATAGTGCCAAGAGCTATTGACCTGAAAATGCTGCACACAGGTTAATGTGCCTGCATCTCCTGCCTTGCAGGTTTCTTAGCATTGTAATGGTGAAGTAAATCTAACAGAAAATGCTTGCACAGTGCAGTCATGGGGGATAATTTTGTATTACCATATCTTTCAAAAGGCCTTATACCTAAAAGTAACTGCCATTTCTTTCAGAAATCATTGTCTCTATTGGTGTGTTTGTAGATTAAACTGTATTTTAACATGTTCAGATGTTTATTCAAAAGTTAAGTCAACAAGATGAACTTCAGCTGAGATAAAGGAAGCTCTGTGGTGCATCTTAACCATCTAATGCCCATGACAAAATAGCTGACTTTATAGTTCACTATCTTTTTCGGGATAAAGTCTTCTTAGTGGTTTTTGCAATTGCTTGCCCCACCCAGGGGGAGAGTCAGAGACTTTCCTGAACTTTGAATTCATAACCTCAAAAACATTCCAAACAAATAATCTGCATGAAAGATGAGCTTTTAGAAACAAATGTCTGAGACTATCATATGGAATTTCACTTGGGGAGGGATGTTTTTGAGGAATTCTGTTCCGAAGAGGGCAGCTATGAGAATATTTGGTTTTTAAACTTTTGACAAATATTTGCTGAACCTCTACAGGGAAAAAAGAAGCCTCAAATGGCTACACTATGGCTGAGGCTCTGTGTGTGTGTGTGTGTGTGTGTGTGTATGTGTGTGTGTGTGTGTGTGTGTGTGTGTGTATGTGTGTGTGTGTGTGTGTGTGTGTGTGTGTGTGTGTGTGTGTGATTTCCAAGATGCCATATATCCAAAGTCAATGAAACTCCAGCACAGGGCAGACCTAGTGGTATCAAAGTAAATAACTTATAAAATCAAGGTTGATATGGGCACATAGCCATGACTGTATTTTAGTACAAATCCAGACTGCCACAAGGGCTGAGAGGCTAGATAGCTGGCTGAGGGGCTGAGGGCTTGTGCACCTCAGGATGTGTGTGCAGCAGCTGGACACACAGGGCTGACTGGGCAGCTGGGCAGGTAAGGTGAGCTGAGCTGAACAGCTGAGAATAAAGATGTCTAACCCAGTCCATAGTTCTAGGTCTCTTTGTCAAGTTAACAAATCTCAAGCGAACCTCAGCAGTCTGAACTGACAGGTTAACATCTCCAACAGAGCAGCAATGTCTGAGGTCTGTGCTTCCCCAGTGTAAGCAAGTATAGGAAGAAAAAAATAATCTTACTAAAAATGTAGACTCTGATTTGACAGAACTAGAGAGAAGGCTGAGATGTGAATTTCTAACAAGGTCCTGAGTGATGTCTACACAGGTGTCCATGCACCACATTTGGAGCAGTAAGGATCTATGTACTAGAGATAAGCAGTCATGGTTTCTGTTTTCAGTACATTCTGAAGACCCGCTTTCACTAGTGCTTATTTTGCTCTCTGAGTTTCAATTTCTTCCTTTGTAGAATGAGGACAATAGTTTTTGGGATGATTATGTAAAATAATGCATAGCAAGTATTAGACATGGTCCCTAACAGGTAGACATCACTTACGTGTGATAGCGTGTTTGCTTTTGATATTACTACCAGGCAGATCTTCCCTTTGTCCTAATGAGGGAAGCCTTCTTTTATCCCTCATGACCATACCTCTGTTTCTTCCAGTGTCATCTGGGCTTTAGTCTTCTCTTGTTCAATCAGTTTCTTAACCCTTTCCATTTCAGTTAAGTTTCTGGTACCTTCTCTAACTTGGTTGGTCAGACTGGAAATCTGTTCTGGAAAAATAAACAAGAATAGCAAAGTTAGTGAAAGGGATTTGTATTAGACCTATGATATCAAGTACATGACACTGTGCCTAGAGACCCACTGGAAACCTTGGTAATCTGGCAGCCCTCGGTAACCTGAAGGCAGGCTCTCCACTAGCCCTCTGGGATGTCTATTAGAGCTAGAGAAAGCTATCTGTTCTCCCACGTCTTCTTTGGCTATCTGCCAGAAAACTATCCCCATTGGTGAAGATGGTACTTCTTAGAGTCTTGTATTTGGGACAGTCTGTGCATTTTCTGTGGTGGTTCTGCTTAGCCCAGTCATGCCAGATTCTGCCTGGACCTGCTCTTTGACACAATCCAGGAATTCCTCTGCTTCTAATGCAAATGCCTAGCTTTCAACCTCAAGGATTGCTGTGGTCTAAGGCACACACAACACTGGAATAGAAATTTAAAGAAGAAGCTAGGTCAGTGTCTGCCAGGTGCAAAAACATGACCCCAGGTAAGAGAAGACTGTGACTTTAGCACACAATTTGACTATCCCCCACCCCAGTGACTGTAAGCCTTTGAAACAGCAATATATCCAGCAGTCACAAAAATCCCTAGGACTTGGTATTGTCTTCTTGATTCTGTTCGTTATGAAAGGAGCCACTGGTACCTGGGTAGAGGTGGGTGCAGAGCCATAAAATTCAGTCTAGAGACAACAGAACAACTCAAGAGCTCACCTGCTTCTCTGTTCCTAAAGACCTAGACTGTAATTGTTTAAGAAATGCAAACAGTTATAGGAGCACATCAGATGAGAATTCTCATGCAAATCATGACGCTCTTCTGACAAGCCCTCTCCAAAGATCTCCAGTTTTTCTCAACTCTGACTGCAACTTACTGACTGCAATTTAGAATCCTCTGCAGAGCTTTTGGAGTAAAGCTCAAAGTCCAAGCCCCGACCCAGACCAGTGGCACTAAATTTGCTCTGAAAACTGTTAAAAATGCAACTTCATAGGCTTCATTCCAGACCTACTGAATTAGAAACTGTGGGATGGGCTCTGGCCATCTATCTCTATTAACAGCTCTCCAGGCGATTGGGACACAGCTAGTTTTCAAATCATTCTTTTAGTACCTTTAGCTTTCTAGTCAGTGACCTGATCTTGGATTATGTAAGTCAGCAAAGGAAGCAAGTTTTATACCTCCAAAATCATGAACTAGTACCACGGCATCTCTAGGCCTTAATGCACATCATATGCACAAATGTCATATGCACAAATATATGCATATGAATGCATACTATTGCATCAGTACTGAATAACCAGTACTAAAACTAATGAGGCTTAAATAATGGTCATCCTTATTATAAAATCAATATTACTTTTAAAAGGCATGAGTCAGGCCTCCATAGATAGGCATGGAAGGAGCTGGGGATTTAGCTCAGCGGCATAAGCCCCTGCCTTGCAAGCAGGTGGTTGTGAGTTCGATCCCACCGATTTAAAAAAAAAAAAAAAAAAAGATAGGCATGGAAATATCCACAAGGCACATGGCAAGTAGCACAGTTCATTAGCTGTGTGTACGAAAGCCGAGGTTTCTAGGCTCAAATCTTAGATCTGCTACTTATCAAATATGAATTCAAAAAAAGTACTTAATTTTATGCAGCCTGATAGAATCTCCATTTTATATAAAACTAAGACTCCTTGGGGGTTAAATAATAAGTAGTTGTATAGAGAACAGTGTGGGGATGTAGTGTGGGCTATAGAAATATTTGTTAAATTATAAAACATTGATAAAGATAAATGGTGTAAAATAATGTATAATTTGAGTAAAAGAACACACATGGATATGTACAATACATGGAAAATATCAGTAGGGATAAAAACATCAAGAAATCCTTAAGATTGGCTTTCTTTATATCTAGAGGTATAAAGAATAACTAGATAACTTTCAGAATTAATTTAATACAAATAATATCTCCAGCAAGAAAACACTAAAAACAAAATACTAAAACTTGACAAGTTAAAACATGAAACAACAGTGCAAAGGTTTCCTATTCACAAAGCCAGGGCTCCCCCTAAGCCCTGGGCTCCTGCCGGGGCTGTGAGCCCAGCTGAGGGTACCTTGGAGACTCTCATTCTCCCTCCTCAGCGTCTCCTGGCCCTCAGTGCTCTCCTCACAGGTGTGCTTCAGCTTGAGGACCTCAGTGCTGAGAGCCCGGGCCTCCTTCTGAGAGGCGTCCAGCAAGGCCTGGGTCTCCTCCTGCTTCTCCCTCCAGTCGGCAAGGGCCTTGTCAGAGTGCTGCAGCTTCTGGTCCAGCGCAGCTGCTGCAGAGCGGGCCTTCCCAAGGTCAGACAGGGCATCCCCAAGCTCAAGCTGCAGCTGGTGCCTGGCCCTCTCCAGGGATGCATTCCTGGCATTGGCTTCCTGTGTGGCTTCAGCAGCCTCCTGTAACTGAATGGCCAGTTTCTTTCTAAGAAAGAGAGACCCAGAGATGAGTGAAGCAGTGTCCCCTCTGAGAGTTCATCAAGCCTGTCCCAAGTTAATGAAACCACTTGATACAAACAGGATGACCTCTGCAGTTGTCTTAGTGGGATCCAGCACAGGAAGCTCGATATGCTCCAGAAACCTGCCTCTGCTTCCCTCCAGCCTCTGGCTCCTATGTGCACATGAATTTTACTTTTGTCCAGGCTTTGCCAGACTTGCAACTCAGCATATCCTTGAATTCCTATAAATATTTGCTTATCCTAAAGATTTAATAAGTAAGTCATGTCAATTTCATACAAAATGGTAGCAACAAAGTTGTTCTAAATTTCCCACCAACAGAAGCTATTGAAACTCGTTAGGCATGGTTAGTCTCTAAACACCTCCTTGGCTATGTTGCTTCTAAGGAATATTTTCTTGTGCCTACCCTGTGAGTTCATCCTCCCAGCCTCTTGTCAAGCAGTTTATAAACAGGACTCAGATTTCTTCTCTCTCTGCATGTCTTCTCCATCTCATCTCAGATTTACATTCACCCCAATATGGTACCACTTAACATGTTCCATTGCTATCAGGGAGGGTTGGCCTCTGTGTTCTTCTAGCAGCCTCTGCTGTGGGGTAGATTATGAAAAGCTTCCCCTACCCTCTTCATCATACAGCACTCTTAGGAATTCTAATGAATGAAATGCATTCTTTGCTTACATCCCATGCAGAATTGCTAGGTGTCCCATTCTTAATCTTAGGTTACTTCTTTACTGAAAGGAATTATACATAAGAAAGCTTTCCTGTTATACTGTGAAACTGAAAAATATTCTCAGGAATTAACATGAACTATACAATATCCCAACAGAGTAATGTGGTGGGTAAAAAGGCTCTCTAGACGCCTGCATTACACAGTCTGTGCTCAGCATTCAAGAAGGCTTTGGGTTCTAACAGCAATCACTGGTTTTCTAACTGTATCAATTTCTTTGCTTCATTCTTCTTATGAGGAGATTCTGATGCCTCATAAAATAATTATAAAACAAAATGTTATGGTTTATATCTGCAACGTCCCCTAAAATTCTCCTGTGTGTAGAACATGGTGGGTCATGTGGGTGCTAGATTCATTAATGGATTCATCCATTGATAATTTCAGTGCTCAATATACTGGGGGGGCTTTGGAGGTGAAGTCACTGAGTATATTCTAAAAAGATATATTCTTGTCCTCAGCTCCTCCTTTCTTTTTTTCTGGATGCCATGACTGGACCACCTTTTCCTTCACCATCCCCTCTCTACATCTGTTCCTGCCTTGAGGCCCCCTGACCACACAGAGAAACTGTGAGCCAAAATAAACCTCTCCTGTGTTAAATTGAGTGTTGGGTACTTTGTCACAATGATGTGAAAGTGACTAAGCTCCTTTGAGTAACCAACCATGCTGAGTTACCCAGCACTGAGGAATTTAAGAAGGACTGAGGTTTTCAAAGCAAGCACCAGGAAATTTCAAGGCACACTGGACAAATTTTTCACTTTCATTGTACTGACAAATTTATTCTGCACTTAATATCAACTACAATTCTGCTCTTTAACTTGCCAGCCATAGGCATCTGCTTATTTATCTAGACTATGCAAAGGGCTATTGGAGTAAGACAGCAAATTTTTATCCATCAAGAATTTAGCATTTGGAGGTTGTAAGTGGATCTCAGGTGAGCTTGGCTCTGCTAAACTTACTCATCATATGAACCTCAGGCTAGCGCTCAAAGCAGCCCACCCTCCAACTTTCCTGTTTGACCAACACGTGACTCTAGATTCATTTAAAGCCACCTACTTCCCTGAGATGACTTGGAGGAAAAGTTTGACTCTGGAAAAGCTTTACTTATTCAATGTTCAAATAATGCTAAAGCAAAAATGGTCTTCAGATATTACCATGTTTGTCCAGTACTTTTCTTTGGTTGTCAAATACTACAGCACTAATTTCAACAAATCCACGTGGCCACTAATCAATTCACATTCTTTCCTTCTTTTCTATGCACCAAGAACACCATGAAATAAAATGACAATTAGGCACTTTATCAAAAGTCTTCAATCATTTGAAGGAAATGAATTTCTTATTTAGAAGCAAATGACAGATTTTATATAAAAAGAGCTATTTCAGTTCAAAAGTCCCCTTTGAGGGACTTCAGAGAGTTTGTGAAACACATACTTTAGGTAATGTTAGTACCTGTCATTCCAAAGCCTTTTGCAAGTTACTGCAGACACTGAGATGGATCACTTCCTACTGCGGCTGGGACAGAACCCAGAGCTCTTTTGCAGCTATACAACAGTGTCCCTCAAAGATTTAGGTGAAGAACTGGTGGAAATTTTTCTTTTAGCTAAAGATAAAGAAAAATGAATGATTTACACTGAATCTTTGTCGAGCTACCAACCCAGAGACATACTCTTTTGAGTAAAACTAACAATTATAAAGTGGGGCTAGTGTGATACTTTCTCTGTAAAATACTGAAGCATTTTCAGTCTCTAAGTAAACCACATGAGTACACCGTGGTAATCAGTCTTGGTTCCCTAGAGCCCCAGACTCTTGATATTCCTGAGAGGAACTTTTAAAACCTTTTAGTAGAACTGGCAATAAAATTGATGGCACTAACCTTAAGGGTGCCCTGCGGGATGACCTCTGATTTCTTTTCAATTTGATTTTTATCCCATGAGGCAAGATCCTAATACATTTCCAGCAGTTACTCCCCATCTTCACATACCACTTGATACTCTACGAGTCATACACTGGAGATAAAATAACTTTCATGTATGGATATTGTGTGTATACATGAGCCGAATCATTTTGGTTTATCAAATGAAATGTAAGATGTTAAATAATAGCCCAATTTGTAAAGTCACATCTTGCATGAATTCTTTGCTTGTGCCTCTAGAAAGTTTTCCATTGGAACTCATTATAGTCTGTCACTTTATTATTTTTACACCCTCTAGAGTATGTGGTTTTTGCCAACAGTGATTGTTTCAGCTTTGCTCTTAAACTTATTGATGCACCTCACAGGACTTGAAAGTATACTCCTGTATGTGACCAGTTCCAGTTTAAAGGTAGCCTCCCCTACTCACTTGGCCTCCTCCAGGTCTTCAGTTCTCTGGATTGCTTCTTGTTCGTACTTCATTCTCAGCTGCACCATCTCAGTGTTGCCTTTGGACAGGGCCCGGTGTAGCTCAGCCTTGGCTTCTTGTTCCTCCTCATACTGCTCTCGTAGAAGGTCAAAGTCATGCTTGGCTGACTGCAGGGCGTGGGCCAGGACACTCTGAGACTGGATGACATATAAATTTAAAAAGACATCACCATTAACATTGAAACACTTGGATGTGACATTTTTTTTTCAGATAAAGTTAATAAAATTCTGCTAAAATTCAAGGTGAACCTAAAGTTAATAGTATGATATCAAAAAACAATCTTAGATAAGAAGATACATGATAGAGAATACCTAATTTGCTATTAAAATGGGAAAGAGTCCTATTTAGGTAAATGGTATTCTTGCTACCTAGGCTTCAGTAATGGACAATCCTGGCCTTCTAGAAATAGTGGAGAACACAAAGTTAGCAACACTCAATATCAATTAAATAATAAGATATGCATATAGCAATAACTAATATTTATATCTTATTTGAATCAGAAAAAACACTGAAATTTAGTCTAGTCTATTCATTGCATTTTTGTGAAAAATAAAGTTATGTTTTTTGCATGTAAAGCTCTACAAAAACCTCTACTGTTAGTACCTCAAAATATGCTGCTCAGTAGAATTTTCTATAATGATGAAAATGTCTTATGTGACACTATTCAATATGATAATCAATAGCCACATGTGGCAGTTAAACACTCAAATGTGCATAGTAAAATGGGTGATGAGGCTGAACCCTTTACTTAATCTTAATAAACATATATTTAAATTTAGATCAGAACCTGCAGTACAGTAGTGGCTTCTATATTTACTGAATAGCACAGATGAGTTTAACAAATGTTTTTACCTCTAAGCAGCATCATTCTCAGGAGATAATCTCATGCAGTAGGAAAATCATATCCTAGCCTGTCCTCAAGGATCCTTTTTGCAAATTAAAAAAAAAAAAAGCATCATCTTAGGTAGCTTCAGGTCTGACATTCTGAAGCTTAGTAAATGACAGCTTCAGTCAAAATTCTTAGGTAGTGAATGAGGAGAAATAATACACAGTGAAGCTGAGACAGAAACAGGCTTTGGAATCATATAAACTTGGATTCATATTATGATCTTTTCGCTTTTTAAATATATGTGTCTTGAGTACATGTCCTGGGCATCAATCTCACAAAAAGTAAAGGAAGCAAATCAAAGACCCAGCGATAAAGAGCCAAAAAGGAACAAGGAGGTATACGATAGAAACATGCAAACACATTAACAAATGTGTTTTTCCTAATAGGAAAAAATAAAATATGATGCAGCATAATGTACAATATTTGCTTTCTTATCATCATTCCCCCGAAGACCTTCAGGAAAGGCATTTAAGAGATGAAAACACCAGTTATAAAATTTCAAAGGCTTGTATAAGAAGGAGCAGAAAGCCAAGAGCACTCTAGGGAAGTAAACAAGGGAAGCAGATCCATGAGGCAAGGTCACAGGTGGAGGCCTCGTGCCAGATTAAGTGGGGCTTGTGCTCCAACTGGGAGCCACTGGGAAGGTAGCTAGAGAGATCTTATAAAATATAAATTCAGTTATTTACTATCTGTGTGAGTTCCTTCACAGTGTATCATATAATATATGAGCTTATATGACGAATTATTTATCTTCTCAGAATGTTCATTTTTCCTATACACATCATATGACTGATATGCAGATTGAAATAATAGAATTATCTAGTACAATGTCCAATGTAAAAACAATGGCAGTAATTTAAAATTTTATATGGAGTAGATTCCAGGGTGGTCAAATAGAGATGCCTAGCACCTTTCTCCCCTTCACAAAAAAAGAATCAAAACAAAAAATGAAAAAGTGCATTTTGAGCTCAGTGGTTAAGGCAGTTCGACAGTACTCAGCAAAAAAGAAGTGAGAATCTGTAATACATGGAGACCTGAGACTGCAGCGGGGAGAGGAGCAACATGCATAGAAAGAGAACTATGACCACAGATTCTCAATGAGAGGGAGGTGAAAGGAAAGATTTCCTTGTTGCAGGGTAAAAGTTAAGGGCGAAGTCCCAGCAGATCACATTTTTACAGTCACTGATAATCCTACCCACAGGAGCGTTCCAGAATTACCATAGGCTTAGTACCCAGTTACAAGAGCTAGCTAGAACAGGCTAGGAAGCTTTGTTTCAGAAAATGAACTCACATTGTCTCGGCACCCCTAGAGCCATGCTACTAAATTGTAGTTATATCTTGAGAACAGGAGCTCTCTGGGCTTCGTACTGCCCCAGGAGTCAGAAACCTCTGCCTCTCCAATCTCTCAGGCCCTGTACACATGCTACAACATCAACACAAAGAGCTGCAGCTTCAGAAATCCAACAAGAATCAGACTGAAGCTCTGATCTTAGACACAAGCCCACAGAGTACTAAGCACTACAGAGGTGGTTGAGGATGGCTGCGGCGGCCACCCCAAGACCTGAGGAACACAGGTGCTTGCCGTCTGAGACCTGGGACCTGTCTCCCTCCACTGCCCCTAACTACATTGGTAAGTATCTCCTGTGCACCATATGAGGCCCTATGCTAAATTTTCCTTCTCTCCGCTGCCGCCATGCCACCCAAACACATGATTATAACAGGAAAAGCTATGGGAAGACTATAATTCAGTGCCCATTTGGAACTAAAGCCAATATAGACTTTCCAACAAACACTTCAGACACATCGAAGAGAAAGACTTTCACTATGAAAGCTACCTTATAAAAGTGGTAGACAAAACTCAACTGCTAGATGTGCAAATATCAAAGTAGGGACATAAGTAGTGTGAGAAATTAAGGAAACACAGCACCTGAAGAAACACAAGGACTCTGGAGCAACAGACCTCCAAGAAAAGCATACTGATGAAATTCCTAATAAGAACATCAAAAGTGATTCTAATGAAACTCAATGAACTATAACAGAATATAGATAATTGAATGAAAGTAGGAAAATAATCAGTACTATGATTGAGAAAAACAACAAAAATTAGAAATCCTAAAAAGAACTAATCAGAAATCCTGAAGAACTCAATATGTCAGATAAAAAATACAGTTCTGAGATAGCTCTTTCAAAGTATCCCAGGCAGACAGTAATAAAGATACAAATGCATGAATGTGCTGTGGTGATCTAGCAGCTAGTGACAAGAAGCAAGGGCGAGGAGGTACCTTCTTCCTCCACTTCTGCTGAGGAATCATGAGCACGCCATGCTGGATCCCTGGGGCCTGAGGACGATGGCCTTAGTGACCACAGCCGGAAGAAGAGAGTTCACTATTTTGCTCAATTTTTTGGAAGCCACAGCATTGTGAAAAGAATGTGCATTGTGCATTTGTCATGGTTACTCAATATTGGGAATTGAACTCAGGACTTCTAAGATGTCAGGTCAGGTTGACAGTAACTGAGTTATCTTGGATCTTTGAATCTAAGAAAATGCTGCTGTTTAGAGGTCCAGAGACGGTATGATGGTATAAGGGGTGAACACGCTTAAAGTATGTAACCTTCAGAGAAGCCCTGGCTGAAACCCACAGGAGAGAGCAGAATAATTGCCTCACCATGGATCATAAGCAGAACAGAGACACCTGGTATACAGTAGGCTAAATACAGCAGCAAAATAATTGGGTAGAGGTTTGGCTCTCCTTCCAAACCTGCCTACAGCTGGCTTATGAGAGAGAATCAGCAGTCTGTACGCTCAGACTCATTTTGAAATTGTGAATGTGGGGGATAAGTGTGTGCAACTTTGTATGGGTGTGGATTATAGTGTGAGTTTCTACAGTGATTTACTTTGATGTGTTGGGTTCTGCCTCAACAAGGGTCAATTCTTGAGTCTTCCAACACTGGGTTTCTACATACAGAGATGTGTACTATCTGTAATTATCTAAAAACGTCATCCTATTCCACTTACATTCCTATTCCACTTACATACTTCTCTTTTCTTTCTCCCTGTCATATGACCTCTCAAACCTCCTTTCCCCACTTACATAAAAATAATATCAGCAAAATCCGTTGTGTCATTTTTCCTTCACCTCTTTGTTTTTCTTGTTACTTTAAATTGTTTGATTTTAGTTTCCCATTTTGTTTTCTAAGATCCTAGCTGATCCTTCATCAGTAGTATCCTTTCATTTTCCTGAATTACTTAAAGAATTGAAAACTTGCAAAACAAGTTTTAAATTAAATGTTGATATATGTCTGGCTCTTTGGATATTGCTATTGCTAGTAATTACTCTCTTTGAAAGGCAGAAATAGGTACTAAATCCAATATTTTCAGTAGGTAGAGTAGGTGTGTGCACTCTGAAACATACCCAAAGGCAAGGGCAAATTACAGAGAAAAAAATCACTTGCTAAAAATTTCTAGTTTAGTAGCATAGTTTTGTATCATGACTGATCTACAATGTTCAACACATACGTAAATCAACAAATGTTACCATGTGAATTGTGTCAAGGATGAAAAATCACATGATTATCTCAATATATGCAGAAAGGGACTGAGAAATTCAACATTCATTCATTATGAAATCCTTGGTGAAAATACGTATTGAAGGACAGTAGCTCAAATCAATTAAAGCCCTTTATGACACTGATTAAAGCCAATATCATACTAAATGGGGAACCACTGAAAACATTCTCTCTGAAACAGGAACAAGACAAGGTGTCCAATGTCTCATTCCTCTTCAATATAATTCTCCAAGCATTAGCCAGAACAGGCAGGCAGGGCAAAAAATGTAATAAATAAATAAACTACTATATTCACACACATACACATATATCCAAACATACATACAGGAAAGGAAGAACTTAAACTGTATTTATGGACAGGTGATACAATACTTCACATTGAAGACTTTAAAAATTCCACTGAAAGACTCTCAGAGTTAGTAAACTCATTGAGTGGTAGAATACAAAATCAAGACACAAAAAACAAGGATGGTCTTGCACACCAATAATGACACCACTGAGCAAGAAGTCAGGTAAATGATCTTACATTGGCTTAAAAAAATTGAATACTTAGGAATCAACCTAACCAAGAAGGTTAAAGGTTTTTCTAATGAAAATATTACTCTGCAGAAAGATTTTGAAAAAGGTTAACAAATGGAGAGACATGCCATTAATGGATAAGCAAAATCAATATTTTCAAAA